CAAGTATATTAATAACGTAGATTAAGTGCGCGCGCCGGACATACTTAATCGTACCATAAATGATCTTAATATACGTAGATATGATAAACACATTTCGCATTTTAATGACATATCTCGTTCAGAAAATAATACACATCATGTGACTGATATTATTAAAAAATATATTTTTTAATTTATTTTTTCGAACACAATTTATGTACGTAATAATCGCCTACTTAACATTCTCAGAATATATCGGCCGTCGTATAAAATATTCTTGCCTTGCTCGGACTAATTTCGCGCTGCGCAACGATGCTGGCGAGGCGTAAAACGCCACTTATCTGCTCGCTCGAGCTACGTTTCCTCGAGCTGACAAGCGTGTTTGATTGCAGCGCAGATAGCGAGTCGCGGATTTCGCGAAATATATGCGCGCCTTCGCAAATACGGAGATTTTCCAGCGGTGCACGAGGCAGCGGACGAGCGTCGACATAAAAGCCATTAACACCTATCCGCGAGTTCCGAAGGATCCATAAATTAAAGCGTATTCGCGGTACACAAAACGTGCTAACGAAGTCGCGAGAGGGATGAATGGTGTTAACATTCTTGCTTCTATTGCCCGCCGCAGTCGATCGACACGCGTTAAACACACCGGAAAACGATCTTACGATTCACGCTCATGTTGAATGTAGGCGGAAGGAGGTTTGATTTACTATCAACGCGGTCTAACAAGATTCGTATCGAGCTTTGAAAGTGAATTCTTTGACACGTAATTCTTTGCCTACGTCGACATATTTATACGTCAACACTTTAATGAACAATACATTTATATTAGCGTTTTATTGAAAATTAATTCTCTTGTTGCGAAATATTTATGCCAACATTTTAATCGCAAAGTTTAATTTAATTTTTTTTATTAATCGAGTTACTTTGATCTTTTTATAGTAAAGTTATTTTTATCGTTAAAGAGATGAATTCCAAGTGAACTTTATATACAGTGGATTTTTATAGAACCTTAATAATTACAGATTAATAAGCAATTTACATGCCATTGTTACACGAGAGAGAAAGAGAGAAATTCCGAGATATATAAAAAAAATTATACATCACACAAGGAGAGATTTGATTTAGTATCAACGCGGTCTAACAAGATATCGAGCTTTGAAAGTGGATTCTTTGACACGTAAATTCTTTGCCTACATCGACATATTTATACACTGAGAAAAACGTTAGGTTAGGTCCGATGAAAAGGTAACAAACGGATATTATACCGATCACTTTAATCGGATATCTGATCGGAAAGTTCCGAATTTTCTGATCAGATATCCGATCGATCGATATTTTCTGATTGGATATCTTTCTTTTTTTTCCGATTAAAATGATCGGTATAATATCCGTTCGTTATCTTTTCACACGATATTTTCTCAGTGTACGTCAACATTTTAATGAACAATACATTTATATTAGCGTTTTATTGAAAGTGAATTCTCTTTTTGCGAAATATTTATGCCAACATTTTAATCGCAAAGTTTAATTTAATTTTTTTTATTAATCGAGTTACTTTGATCTTTTTATAATAAAGTTATTTTTATCGTTAAAGAGATGAATTCCAAGTAAACTTTATATACAGTGGATTTTTATAGAACCTTAATAATTACAGATTAATAAGCAATTTACATGCCATTGTTACACGAGAGAGAAAGAGAAAAATTCCGAGATATATTTAAAAAAATTATACATCACTCAAGAAGAAATATGATTTAGTAACAACGCGGTCTAACAAGATTCGTATCGAGCTTTGAAAGTGAATTCTTTGACAAGTAAATTCTTTGCCTACATTGACATATTTATACGTCAACACTTTAATGAACAATACATTTATATTAGAAACACAATTACGGTAACGTCGTCGATTTTTAGCACAAGAATGTCCTCTGGAATTTTATTCGTTTCTCCTGACCGTCTCAACTCCATTAGAGGACTTCTCCATCCCTAAACGAACAAAGCGCGTAATTCATCGGCTATAAATTTACTGGCGGTCACGTCGCGTCGCAATCCTCGCAAATCAGCTCACCCAAGTTTCGCGAAATAAATTGTGATTCCACGCGGATTTAAATTTATGATTATGACACTCTATATATAGCATTGCATCTTTTAATTTTCAACTAAAATATTACAAAGTGCACGCTTTATGTGTACCATTTAATTCCATTTATTATATAATTTAATAAAAAAAGAGAAAAAGATTTCACGCTATAAGTAATATTCTTCCTGTTTCGTGCAAAAAGATACGGGATTTCAATAATAAGAACGCCAAAAATAGCGTTCAAATTTTATAGACCGGAAAAGAAATTGCAATTTACAGGCGAATTTAGAAATGCAGGTAATCTAGAAAAGTTCAGTCTCATTACGTGGTAAAATGTAAATTGAAAGCGGTAACCTTTGAGGTGGTTATTGAAAGTAACCTCGAAAATGTAGACGAGAGTGAGGTGAGCAAAAGAGAGAGCTTCGTGTTAATGGTGCACCACTCCGGGAATCTCCCGCAGTCGCTATTCGACTTCTACTTGATTTTGCCGCAGCTTTTATGTCCGACCCAGCTTCGACCGCTACAATACATTTTCTTCCCTTTAAAGTAATTTGTTCTCCCTCCCCCCCCCCGCCTCTCTCTCTCTCTCTCTCTCTCTCGTTCTCTCTTTATTCCTCTATCTCTTTAAAAGCGGTGCATTTTAAATCGTATCGGGAATTCGTCACGATTTCCGAATATCGATGAAACGAGAGAAGAGATTAAACAAATGGAATAAAAGCCGAAAATTGAGCCGATTTCTCCGAAATGATCGTAATATTTTGCAATTAAGAAGTAAATCTTTTAAATTATGTCATAATCTTTGAAAAGTATAATAGTATTATTCTTGAATTATTTCCTAACATTTATCACATTTAATAATATTCAAGTTTAATGCTTTATTTTTTCTTTATTTTAAATAATTCGATAATTATTATTTATAATATTATGATAATTTTAGGGAAATTTGCTGGATTTCAGGCTTTTATTTGCCATTTATTTATAATAATTTAATATTTGTTTCTCGTGTCATAATATAATAATTTGATTTGATATTTGTCTAGTGATTCGGCAAACATTCGAAAAGATTTCACACAGTCGCACTGAAATGCCCCAAGCCCATTTGATACGCGACCGACTGTTCGAAAAGCTCTCACGTATTTCAATGAATAAATTCAACTTTGATGTCGCAATCAATACGCACCCGACTTCGTAATTAAAATTGAATTTTCAGGACAAATTGAGGAGAATCGATCGACCTCGTCAGTCACCGAGTGCTTCGTCAAAAATCCCGTTTGGTTATCGTCGCGCACATTGGATTCTAGAACGTTTTAAAAGTTTTAGTTGCCGATATTTTCTCCTTCGTAAATTGCATGTCTAATGGTACCTACCACTATAATTATTTTTACACAAGCGATCAAACGAATCGCAAGGACAGGGTCATATATTGCATTACGAATAGTTCTCGATTCTAAGAGATTAATATTCCTGACAAATTCCGTGTCACTGATGTGACCCACATCTTGAAGATAATTTATTATATTGATACTTATCCTAAGACTATAATGAAAAAATATATATTTCATGCGTGCGTTTTACAGAAACATCAATATAATTTTTATTAAAATTTTTTTTCTTTTAATTATCATGTTACTTAGAAAATATTTTTTAAAAGACATTTTATTTGGAATATTGATTTTAATTATACATATATATATATATATATATATATATATATATGTATGTATATAATTAAAATCAATTGTAAAATGTTATTTTGCAAATATATTTAAAAAATTTTTTGCTATAAATAAAATTCACCTAGTAAACGGCAATTCATCTAATCAAATTGCATGCAGCTGTTATATTATGTATTCTATGCTAATAAAATTAATACATTCCCGATATTCATTACCACTACATATACACAATGCAATTTACATGTAAAAAAAGCTTGCCTGAAATTTACAAAAGTAATTGCAGAAATAATTTTTTCGCGTGCATTTGACTTTTCATAGAAAGCATATATTTCTAGAGAAAAATTTATTTACTATCGCAGAAATATTCAATCTTTTCAGTGATTTAATCAATTCAATTTTTAAAATTGATTTATATTATATGTGACCTGATACGTTATAACATGATAAGATATTTTTCTATAATATTTAAACATAACAGAAAAAAATTTTCATATAAAATTTGTAAAATATAAAGAAAAAAAGAGAACACGATATATATTGCGAAAATTTTAATAGGAAAAAATTTTTTATTCGCGTTAATTGCAGTTGTTTTGTCTACATAATCATATGTATATATATATATATATATATATATATATATATATATATATATATATATATATATACGTATGTATCGTATGTAATATAGAGAATGTATCAATCTTCAATTTATTTTTAAAATTTAAATTTCAAGCAGAATTAAATCATCAAGAAAAGATAAAACATATCTCCAATAAAAAAACTATATTTTTGTAGGAAAATATTTAAAGCGCAGTCTATATTGTGTCATTGTATTTAAACAAAAATTCTATCGTTCGTATCATCGAACAATAACCTGTAATAACTTGGAAGTAACCTCTAACCTCTAACTTGGAAGTGACCTCCAACAGCCGACTAAATACATTTTTGTTTTATTATGTCTTATATGTTTGGCGCCGAATATAGCCGTATAATTCTCAGGTAACGCACATTTATGATAAAAATGGCGATTTTTACATACCTGAAAGCTTTGTCTTTTTTTATCAGAACCGCTGAACCATTTTATCTCTCTTTCTCTCTCTCTCTTTGGCGAAATGTAAACGCATATCTATCTCTAAATGTGTATATAAGATAGCTAAGTCTTAAACGAGATTCAAGTTACATTTGCATTTCGCAAAGCGCTGAATACGAATACGATCTATCTTCGCGCCAAGCATGATAAGCGTGTCAAGAGTCTAACTCACATGAAATTGCCTCCTTTGGAATGTCGCTGAGCGGAAAGCCCTGCGCCTCGAAGATCGGCTTGACGTTGTCGCATTTGAGACCGGCGGCGTTTATCGTCGTCGCGACTCCGATAATCGCCGTAACAATCCACAGTATCATGGCACTCATTTTCGCAGTCGGCTTCCTCGTGCAGGAACTCAAACAAGGGACGAAGGCGAAGGATATATGCGAGCAGCGAAGGACGAAAAAACACACGCGCGACGAGAGATCTCGACACAAATTCACCAAGTACCTTTTTCGGCAACCAAACAGACGCGATGACGTCTTTCACGACGCTCGTACATTCGCGATGACGATAATGAGTATATATTATCGGCGCAACCGACCGACCGACCGGCGTTGCCCGCGAATTATCGTTGATTAAAACGACAAAACAATCGCGGACGCGAATTTCGTCGAATGAAACTGGGAATAACGAGACCTTCTCCCTCACGACACGACACGCACTGACCGGCGCTGACTGAAGTGAGCGATGAAATGTGCGCCGCGAGCCGCCAACCGGCAACGGCGCGCCTGCGCCGGACGATAACTGGTTTGAAATCAGTGCCACCACACAGCTCCTGCGCCATTCGAGTGACGCAGAAAACCCCACGTCGAAATGCGCCAAAATCGTTTTTATATATCTATTCTTTTTCTCTACACTTTTACTACACTGTGCGTATAACAAGACAAATATGCGTAATATAAATTTATTACACAAATGAATATAATAATAGATTGTATCGCTTTTATTTAATGATTTAAAAAGATGAAGTGGAATTTGTGGATAGTTTAATGTTAACTTTTAATTTTTTTTAATTGTATCGCCATAAAAAAAATATAATAACGCTTAAACGCAAACAATTGGAGACTTCTTTATATTATGAATGATACTATGATCTTTTCAATAATTCGCCATTTAAATAATGTCTCTCTTGTAAATATATGTACATATATATATGTACGACACATTATAACTTAACATTATATAAAATATCTTTCAATTATTCCTCGCTATTTTCTGATATTATTTAAAGAAAAGTAATTATGAGGCATATTCACTTAACATCTGCTGATAATTATATGTTATTATCGATTCTTGGTAAAATCTAATTTTATATTTTATAAGATTGTATTTCAAAATTACGTTTATATGAATTGCTTATGTATTGCATCTTAAATTTATATATGGATTTTTTTTCATGTAAACGCGTGAATTTAAACCTTATAAATTAAATGTCAGAATGCAAAAAAATTATATTGCCAAATAATTATATTATTATATAAAATATAGAGTTAATATATAAAATTTTAATATATATAATATAATATTAATTTTCTTTTTTGTATAGTATAAAATCCAGTTTGTCAAGTTCTTTGTTTGAATTGTCGAGGCATCATAAAATATTAAAATTGTACCGTTATGTTTAAACCATAAACAACATAAACGAAACGTTTTCGATAAGCTGTATTTCATAAATTATTCATTGTTAATATAAATGACATATTAAACATTACAAAATACACATTTAAATTGTTTATGCGTAGATGTAAACTATATTATAATTGATGGATAAATGCCAATCCTGTTAAATATACAATAATGTTTTTGTGTTGCAATGTGTTTTCAAGAATGGAAACATAAATTGAATTTAAAATGAAAAAACATATTTACACATTCGATTAGATAAATTTATATCTTATTATTATCAAAATAGCAACGAGTTATTGTTATTAAAGATGACTAGTTATGGTTAAATATTTGTACTATCAAGTAAGTTTGATAAGTCCGAAGATAATACAAAAAAATACTTTATTATAGATATCTAACTATTTTAAATTAAAACTCGAAATATATTTTATGCATTGTACGATAATTTAGAATATAGATCACTATCGAGAAAATGAAAACAGAACTAATATGTACAATAATGTATATTTCAGGAATAATATAAATAATAAATATATACGAATATAAATTATTGCATACCATTATTTGATGCTTCCTGGACCCTTTTCTTCTTTCTTGTTTCTTCTTCCTATCTTTTTTGCTGCTTCTTGTTACTTATATTCACTCGCGAAAACGCGATAATTGAATACGTGACGAAAATAATAATTTACACGGCACTCCCAATCACAGAACAATCACACGAGATACTTTATTATATTGTCAGAAAGCAAAAAATGCGATTCACTTGATATTTACATATATGAGACCAAAAATCATGTATGATTCATTCAATGCTATTATTTATTATTGATACATGTATGGTATATATACAATACGAATCGTAAGATCAAAAGATTAAAAAGTGATAAAAAATCGTGATACAGTAATTATTTAATTAATAACTCATACAGTACTGGACAAAATAAATCATACACTTTTCAACAAATTGAATTTGTTAGTATAATTATTCTTTTAACAAGCAAATAGATACAGGAAAGTCAAAGCATTTCAAAGTATTTAAATAAAGAAAATTGTAAAATAATAAAAATTATGCTCAATTCTTTTGTAAAAAATTTATTATTCAATATTGTTACATTTTGCCCTGGACAAAATAAATCATACACTTTTAGAAGTATTTTAATAGTTAGCAAATAAATAAAGTTAATTCTAATTGTGATTAGTACTTGGTATTGCCACCATTGGCTTTCAATACCGCTTCCAGTCGACGAGGCATACTTTGGACTAATTTCTTTAAGTATTCAGGATCAATTTCCTTCCAAGCCTTCTGGAGTATTGCATAAGACGAAGTCTTGTCACACACGTTCGTTTTATTCACGTTCACGTTCAAATAAGTAGTCCACGTAGTTTCAATTGGATTAAATCTGATGATTGTGGCGGCCATTCGACCAGTTTTACCTTATTAGATTTGAAAAATACAGTGGTTTTCTTCGCCTTATTCTTCGGGTCATTATCTTACTGGAAGATAAAGTTGTTTTCCTTATTTATTTGTGAACTATTACTTCTAAAAGTGTATGATTTATTTTGTCCAGGGCAAAATGTAACAATATTGAATAATAAATTTTTTACAAAATAATTGAGCATAATTTTTATTATTTCCTATTTTCTTTATTTAAATACTTTGAAATGCTTCGACTTTCCTGTATCTAATAATCTATTTGCTTGTTAAAAGAATAGTTATACTAACAAATTCAATTTGTTGAAAGGTGTATGATTTATTTTGTCTAGTACTGTATATGTGCTCGTATTTTAGAAAAATTTAAAACATTTAACGGAATTCATTCTTAGCATTGATAAAGAAATAATTATTATTCATAAGAATCAATCGCAAAAGATTATAAAATATGTAATTTTTATCCTTCGCTTCAATTTCTATTTTTATTTAATAATGAAGGATCCCGAATTGATAAAGATTTATTGTCGCGATAGTTTTATCACTACAGTCATTTAGCAAAGATTACTTAATTGTTAAATATGATAATCGCATTATATTTCCATACTTATCACGCATTTAAGAAAGAATACAATAATACTCAAAAGGAGCTTCTATGAGAATAGATAATGAAAATAAATACAATAATATTCGAAAGAAGTTTCTCTCGTACTCTTACGTTATGAGTATTGCCGTATGAATGATAACAGACCGCGACATAAATAGCGCGCTATTGTTATGTCATTTTTTATGTCGTTAAGGCCAAACACCATGTTATTGATAATTCGCTGCCAAAATAGTTTACATATTATAATGTATGTAAGTGTATATATGTATATATGCTCAATATATTAAATTATGCAAGTATTTTAAATTATAAATTAATTATATTGTTACGCCCAGGGCGAGGACTTCGATATATATCGAAGACACGCACCTAGAAAACGGCCGTTCGTGAGACGCGTGAAATAACCACTTTTAGGGAACAAAGACACTTTAATGAAGAACACAGAACACACACAATAGCGGATAATAATAAGAAACACGGAGACGATTCATAAACGCGTCCGCTCAGCTTGACAGCTAGCCCAGACTCAGCTGACTGTCGTTGTTGATAAATAATAACGGGTGGCGAATATATCCGCAGGGACGGGACGCGGGGGCGCAACAATATATTAAACCATGTATCTTTTACAGATCCTTTCGTTATATAAGTCTATGGTTATAACTACCTGGATCTGTGATTCAATTGTTTTATATATCGCATGTTTTTCAAATTGTATTTAAATTAAAAAATGGAAAGAATCGCGATGAAATGTACCAAATAGTATAAACATCATTAAAAAAATAATTATTACTCGTAAATATCGTGACGAAATGCATAATTTTAATTTCTGCCACATTTCGATCCTTGATTCAATGTACACATCATGCAAAATATGCGAAATGTATTATTTAACGTACATACACATATATTTAATCATTTTAATTATATTAATCATACAAATTATTTCTCGATATTAATCGCAATCGCATTTTGGATTTAATAGACGACCGTTTCGTATCACTATCTTCTCGCTCGAATCGCGTCGCTTGAATGACAACAATAAGCTCCTATATCTTAAATATATACTGACAATGAGAAAAACAATAACTAAATTACATGACAATTGATTTGTTACCGCCTCGAAATATTTAAGATTTTATGTCATAAGCTGAGAAATATTTTCTATATTTTTTTGTATTTCAAATTTTAATTTCGGTATAATTGGAGCATTTCATACAAAATCTAACATTCATTTAATAATAGAATTTATCTTATTTAAGAAACTATTTGTGTAAATTAATTTAATGTTATCATCTTATGTTATCATATGTTATTTTTATATTTCAAAAAAATATTCTTTTTTAATTTGGGATTCTTTAATTGCAGTTCATTAAACAATACATGGTGTAAGTAAATAAATGGCGCGATTGTAAAGCGCGTTTTTGTATGTAATTGTATGATAATATTTTAATTTAAAAAATCCTGTAAGCGCAAATATTCTATACATAATAATCAAAATATTAAAAAAAATGTCTATAAAACAATAATTATATTTCAATCTTTAGAATATCAATGAAAAAGATAATTCTTTATTTTTTTAAATTAGAGATAATCTATAAAAAATATCTATTATATTTATGTATTTATATAAAAAAATAAATCTATATTTTTTGAGATTTGAAAACGGTGTATTAAATGTTTAACCTGATTTTTATATACATAATATTCGACATATTTATTATTTATATATTAACTTTTTTCAATAAAAATACAACTCGTAAATATGTAAGAAAGACCACACAAACGCTTCAATATATCTATATTTATTTTCGAGAGAATAGAATAAATATATTCCTACCTTAAAAATTTATTTAAAAAGAATATTTTATTTTATCTTTTCTTTATATGGTGAAATGTGTGTTTTCACCATATAAAGAATCAGCTAATTTCAGCTATTGATTAAATATACCGGAAATAAGGGATTCCAATAACATATGTTGTCAAGGTCATTGTCCTTCCGCACCATGAAGAAGAAAAGGG